GTTACTTAGGTTAATCATTTTCCCTCTCTGAAACTCCATTTCTTCTAAAAGGAGGCTAATTAAAGTGTTAATCTCAAAATTAAATAAGATAACCTCTGTCACATAGTAAGCCTTTAAAGAAAAACAATTACCTGTGGTTATTATGAATACTGTCATTCTTGCTATGGTTGTCATCATCTTTGCTTTTTCAGGGAAGTAACATAATATAGTAGAAAGAACCTAAACTTTGAAATTGAACCAATTCTGGCTCCAATCCCATTACTGCTATTTGCCATTTCTAACACCTGGTCCTCTAAGCCTCGATCACTTTACATGTAAGGTCAGGAAGTGATTTCCCTTCTAAAGATGTTTTGAGAAATGCACTTATATAAAGAACAACAGGGTCTCCTCAACAGAAGTAATTTTATATTTAAAAAAAAACAGTTCTTTTTATCTCCTTTTTAAAATGACACACAGATCTGTCAAACAGTTAATACTATGAGCAGACAACAGTTGGTGGGAGTAAGATGGCAATGGGGGAGAAGCCAAGGCCTGAGTGCTGATAAACACAGAAGCTAGAATAAACATTGAGACCTTCCCTAATTGTGAGCACTAGAACATATTACAATGACACCAGTGCAAAGAGTCTGGATCAAGTATCAAGAGTTCAGGCACTCTCTATAACCTTGTTTCTATAGGAAAAGCTTTCTAAATTCCAAATATTTAATTTATGAATGAATTTCTGAAATAACAATTTTGTAATTTTAATAGTGATTGCATATAACTTTAATAGTGCTTACATGTAACTTTAATAGAGGTTTCAGCATCCACAAATGGGATTTAGTTTACAAATAAATGTTTTCCCCCTATTTGCTAGAATAAGTATAAGATACTTAGACAAGATAAAAATTTTATGACCAACAGCACTGTTATTCTATTTGAGTTGCACTTGATGGTCTAGAATATTTAACTGGAGCATTAAAACAGCCTTACCCATACTTTTTCTATTAATAATGAGAGATAATTGAAAATAATCTAAAACAGGAGAGAACACATTAAAATATTATATTAACTGTTTCAAGTACATTTTTGTATTTAATATTAAACATATATATTGTACATAATGGAATTTCATAGTGTCATATCAATTAAATTCATAAGATTTAATATGAAAAGAGTTTCTGGCTTAGACAGTTAAAATAATTTAACTTCCCATCCTATCTTTCTATCCCCCAAATTATCTTGGGGATAAATAGTGTCTCCTCTCAGCCAAACATAAAACCTGAAAGTTGTTCATTTGTTATTCTGAGAGTTTGTATTGGCTTATCTTGAGTGATGCAAGCAATTGTATACTGATTTAAATGTCCTCCTCTCCAGCTCTTTGGAGTCACATGATAATAAATAAAATAAAAGAGACTGTTAACAAGTAAGAAAACAGTAAGGACAGCAATTGATTTTTAAAGGGTTATAAAGTCAATATTTAGGTTTTATTCAGGTTATCTAATCTTCCGAGGCAAATGAAAGTTGATGTGGTCTCTATTTTTCTATGAGTGTACTGATATCACTGATACAAATTTCTGTATTTGTTTCTTAATCAGTTCACTTTTTCAAAAGCTTAATTTATTATCTGCTTAGCAAAGTAACTGTATAAAATATTGAAATTACCCATACATGAACAAATAGTTAAGTTACGACAGCTAGTTACATAGATAAGCATGGGGTAATTTTCAACATTTTTTTGATAAACTGTAATTTATTTTATCCATACCCCTCAAAATACTCTGAAGGAGATTTTATTGTGTAAGAAGATACCCTAGTGCATGTGGGAAGGGAGTAGGCATGTCTAGTTACTAGCTAAAATATTCAGAGAATTTATAATCTGAATGAGGAGGCAAGAACGCACAGGTCTGGATAAAGATCATACCAACTAGAGGAAATAATAAGTATTAACGTTCTGAGATTGGAAAGTATTTGAACCATTTTTAAGAGGATGAGATTTGAAAGCATGGAAAGGAAAAAAGACGAGGTAGGTAAGATTAGGTCCTGTAGAATGTTAAAATCCATCTTAAAGGTTTTGGATTTTATTTTGGATGTCAAAGAATTGCATGGCTATAAGCAAGGAACTAAGAGAATACAATTATGAACAACACATTAGAGAATATTAATGCCCAGGAAATGAATGAAAAAATATGAAAACCAGATACCATCTCAAATAGTCTGAAGCAATCTAGAGAAATGACCAATATTCTTATACCTCAATCACAGGCTCTGAAGGTGTAAGCACATTACAACATCCTAAAGAACTGGTGGTCATCATAATGAGCTGGAATCACCCAGAAAGTGGAAAGTATAAAATATTACCATATATTTATGTATTACTTAAAATATTTAAAAACTGCAAAGTATGTATCATTTGAAAATGTTTTCTAGAAAGGCAGGAAGAATATAATACTGCAGAGTTTCATTTAAATAATTTATGCTTCAAGAAATTTATGCTTTAGTTTCTTAAATTTTAGTTTCTTTAATTTAGTTGCTTAAATTTTCAGTAAATTTAGTTTCTTAAAACAACTCAATTTCTGGGGGCTACCTGATGGCATAGGGGTTAAAGTCTAAGCACGATCAAGCTATCACTGGCCACTGTGGCATGAGTTTGATGTGGGGGCACATGGCTCAGCAGACCTCGCCTATCTCGCCCACTACTCCCCTCAGCAGTGTATTTCAGTCAGTCTGCCTGTTCTACTCCCCACTTTGTCTCTGGTGGGTCCTCTCACCCCCTTCCCTGACACCTCTGGCCTGTACCCCAGTTCTTGTATGCCTAAATAAAATAAATCTTTAAAAAAAACTCAATTTCTGATACCTGAATAGTCAAAAGTTTTAGTTTTCTGTAATAAACATACAAATCCATTTCCTTACTCAGTATTTGCATTGCAACAACTGATTCAGATATAAAATTCATTCAAAAATGTTCTTAAATCCATGTTCTACCAAACAAAGTCAGTTCTTCCATTATCATTTAAATACATTCTTCTCTCATAGCCTCTACTTACATTGTTGTCTCATTTTCTAACCCCTCTTCCCAGTTCCTCACTTTCCCAACTTGACTTCCATCTCTTCATTCTCATTGAATACAGAGGGTATTTTATTATAAAGGCATTTAGTTTTCCTATTTCTAATTAAAAATGATCTATGAAATGAACCTCTGGTATTATGTGAATAAAATGGATTTCTTTAAAATGTATTTGTGTGTCTTCATCTACAAATAATGACTTTAAAAGCTGGAAATCTGAAATTCCCATTCTCTCACCATGTGTGCCAAATTTGATCATATAAGGTGATGACTGAGACACAAACTGCTCCATTTTAAATACACTATTCTTTTTGTAATTACTAATCTATGAGACTGTGATTATCCTCATTTCCCAAAATTCTTGGACCCAGTAGTTTTTCACAATTATATCCCTTTAATTATAAAGCAATAGTGTGCCAACAAGAGAACTTCAAATTAAGAGAACTATGAAAGTTCATTCCTCACCCCTCTACAGACACCCCATTATACTTCTGCAGCAATAGGCTTCGTTAACTGATTCTTATATATCCTTTTCAATGTATACACAAGCAATTATATAGCTAATTTTTTTTTAAATCACAAAATGGTTGCATATTACATACACTGTATTGCAACTTAATTTTTTCCCCACAAAATATATCCTGGACATGCCTATCATTACATAAAGATTCACCTCATTCTTTTTAATGGCTACAGAGAATTCTACTTGCCACTATTTAGGCTTCCAAATATACATTATATAGGTTTTATTTACAAGTTTTATATATCAAACTATAATAAACATCCCTGCATATGTAACTTAGGATGCCTTGTGTGAATACATTTGGAAAACAAATTGCCATAGCTCCTGAATTCAAATGTATTTTATTTCCTGTTGATAGATATTGCCGTGTTTTCTTTCAAAACTGCATTGATTTATGTTTCCATCTATAGCAATGCTGTTTCCTCACCAACAATGAACATTAACAATCCTTTAATCTTTGTCTATCCGAGGTTAAAAAAAAGGCAAGTCACTATTGTTTTAACTTTAAATTTTTAAATAAGGCTGAACAATCTGTCACAAATTTATTGAACATTTGAAATCTTTTCTCCATTAATTGTTTAGTCTCTGTCCTTTTTTTAATTAGGTATTCCTAATAAAAACATTATTTAATATTTTAAATAGCATTTTTTTAAAAAAAAAAAAAAATTTATTTATTTATTTATACAAGCACTGGGTACAGTCAGAAGCGCAGGAGAGTGAGAGAATTCACCAGAGCCAGAGAGGAGAGCAGGACAGGCTGACTGACGAAGTACACTGCTGAGGGGAGCAGCAGGCGGCAGGAAAGGTCTGCGCGCCATGTGGGACCCTCGCTCGGTGGCTGGGGAGCTACAGAGGCTGCGGGCAGTTTCACAGGCCAGTGCTCAACTGCTGCACCACGGGGGAGGCCCCCTAAATAGTATGTTTAAAAGAAAGGTGTGACAAGCTTCCTTATGATAATATTTTATAAAATATTACTTTAGAAGTAATCTGCACCTAAGAACCACCCCCTAAAAAAAACCTATAGCTCCTAGAAGTTTACATTTAATTTCATTATGTTTAATATACTTTACTAAATTGATTTTAGATTAAGAATCCTTTAATAAATGTGCTAAAGTAATTTCTATATTAAAATCTCTAATTTTTTTAAAATCCAATTTCTGTAGGCAAATAGCAGGAAGCAAATGAAAATTTAAAAATCAGCATTTTGATTTTTAACTAACATTTGAGAACCATCAATTTCATCTACGATATCTTATTTAGTAATAAACCAAGAAGGCATTTCCAAGAACAGGGAAATGAAGATCTAAATTAAATCTCTAGAAAGAGAACAATGCATCTATCTTTCACTATTACATGAGCTACTCTCTTTCTACTTTAAAAATCAATTTTGTGCAGACCTAGAGTCACATGTTAGAGTACGATAAAACTTACCTGATCGATATAAAAAGCCGTGCCTGCACGAATCTCTCGACGCTGTTTAAGATCTGTTTCTGTAGTGTCCCTTGACAGGGCAATGTATTCAACCTCTCGTTTGGTCAGTTCCTGTAGAACAAAGTCAAAATGTTCAAAAAAATAAAATCAAATTCCCAACATATACTTTGGAGTCAGTCATCAGACAATGCCACTGCCAGAGAAGAGCTTTTGAGTACCATCTTTGAGGAAAATGCAAAAAATTGAGCATTAATCAAAACATGTACATGTCTCCTCATAGCTTTTATTGTAATCAATAATTTACTACCAATTATAAACCACTTAAGCCACGATAACCAAAATTATATTTTACAAATATTATTGCCTCCTGTAGAATTCTTTTCATATCAAAAGTTATAATTTTGTTTTCCCACAAATAGCCATTTCTGTAAATACTGCTCATCTTTTTTTAAAGGGTGATTTAAATTAATTTATTCCATTAACCAATGTTTACCAACTTCATCAACAGTGAAAATAAGGTAAACACCAACAGTTAGGACAACAGAAGGGAGAAACACATTCCTAGTGGTTCAGGAAGAAAAAGAAGGATGGAAAGGAGGAAAGGAAGAGAGAAAACAAAGTGGGGGAGAGGGTAAAGTTTTCTCTTTCCTTTTCCCCTTCTTCCCCCATCCCCACACACACTTACTCACAAATAAAACAGCAGATTTGAAGGAAAAATCTTCTAGAATCTATTTTAGAATTATTTATCCGTCCCTAAAGTCATTTTGCTCCACAAGTAACAGCTATGTACAAAAAGGCTTTCAACATTACCCTTAGTTTTGCAATGTTGAATTAAAATCAATGACATTCTACAATCAAATAAGATGTATACTATATTTTCACTAAACAGTGAGAAAAAATTAATATACAGGCATATGAAGAAAATAAGTTAAATAAGAATGCCATTAATGATGAAAGGGGATATTTTCTACATGACAGGATTTTTTTTCTCTTTATCTTCATGTGATATGGATAATTATGTACAATTGTTTGTCATTTAGTTTTTAAAAATGTGTCTCTTCCCATACACCCATAAAGTTAGGTATGGAAAGAGAGAAAGAGAGAAGGTACACACCATAGTGATGAAGATGTGGTGACACCAAATGATGGTTGTCTAAATGAAAATGAATTGCTTGTGAGAGCACAAATTTTGAGTAAAGTAGCATGTTCCCTTTTCAGGAGATACTTTCTTCTTGCTTCTGGAACACATGACTAGAATCTTGGTGTTTCATTGACTGGTTGAATGTTATCTCCCTTACTGAAAATCCCTGTCACTCATATTGGTTGACAAAGTGAAGTATGCCTCTTATTACTAAACTGTACCACAGTAATTTCCTGAATTGTCACACCAAGGATACTATCTGCAATCTCGACAGTTTCCTAGGACTCTCATCAGCCAACACCAAAGTCCCCTCACCTGCTGTTTTACAGAAGAAGTCTGAGCAAGTTCACAAACAGCACCAGGAGTATCAGCTGGAGGAGGGGGCTATGGTCTGCTAAGTTGTCTTAGGTTTGTTTAGTTTTTAAAATACTCTCTATAAAACTCCTTTTATCAGTTAAATATAAAATAAAAGCAACTATCAAATTATTTCTATTTAATGTCTCATTGGTTCAGCAGGCTAGCCCCCAAATTTCTTTCTTTTACTCTGGCTATTACTAAGTATAGGATCTTTTATGTTACAGCAATATAGTACTCACTCCACAGATGGCAAAGTGGTTTAAACTAGTACATTTTCATATGTGTTTTCACATCCGAAAGTTGCCTGAGCTCTATTACACAGTTTAAGGTATTTTTTTTTTCAGTTATTGATGTCATATAGGCCTATGTTAAATTTTTTATCCAACAAAGTTCCTATAAACTCCTAGTCCTTCTCCTACATTTCTAACAAGCTTCAAAGTCTTGCCAGAAACAAAAAAATCTCAGGGAGATACTGCAGTCTTTGAAATGAGTTAGCTAGAGTGCACATCTCACAATGTTAGCAATCAGATAATTTAATATGCTGCATTGGAATTGTAGTTAAAGATTAAAATGGTTGTTTATTTTAAAAATAAATAAAATAAGAGATTCTAAAACTGCAATTCTCAGTAGCTGACTCTACATTTTACGTAAGATACTTTTTTTCCTTGCGCATTAATAAAGTGATAATACATCAATGGCCATTATATATCACACACTGATTTCAGGACTAAATAAAAGACATCAAAGTTAAGGGCTAGTGGGAGTTAGGTTCTGACTTGTTCATTGTATTTTTATTATTCCTGCCCCATGTGATTTTTAAAGTACCAGAATAAATTCATGATGAAATAAAAGAGTACACAAACTATATTTAAATAGCAAAGAAATGAATTATTTAAAATCAAGTAGTGCAAGGAAGCTTTGAGCAAGGTTTTTTCTTCATCTAAAAAGTAAACTTTGGAACAGAAAAACATCATCTTACAGCATTCTTCTAATTATTAAAGCAATGCTGATGGAATGCTAACAAAGTAAAAAAAAGTCTCATAATTATTTTTATTTGGGTTAAGATATTAATATTTCAATTTATTTCACAACAGTTCTCAGAGAACTGCAAACATTTAAGAGGATAACATGTGAGAAAGGAGAAATAATATGAAATCTGAAGTCTAGGTCCAACATTTATTAGTGGGATAAAGCTTTAGTGAGTTATTTATTCTCTGTAAGCTTGTTTTCTTATCTATTTAAAGAGGAAGAAAAAGAGAGAGGACATATAAGAGATATTCTATGACCTGAGGCTCCCTTTAAAGACCACATAACATCAAAAAGTCAAGAGAATTCTGTGTTTTTAAAATGAGATAAAAGACTGTTCCCTGAGTAGTATAAAACTAAATTTTGTTTCATCATCTCAAAAGTTGCTGATTCTATCTGCCACTCATTATGTGAATTTATATTTCATTTCTGCTGGAGTGGAGCTATTTCTAGTTATAGCAAAAAATTGCTAATGCTTTGAAAGGCAAATTTGCTTCCCAAATAATTTATTCTAAGTTCTGTTTTTTAATTGAGTTAATGCTGGTTGATGTTATTTTTTAGAAGTATAGGATCCAGTTCTTTATAAACAAATCATCCTTTAGCATTAATTTTTTTCAAGTAATGACTAATCCTGATATTTTAAAAATTCTTTTTATTCATATATTTTACAACATACTTTATCAAAGTTAAGACCTTTAGGAATTCACAAGAGTTGGTAACTCACCAGGTACTGCATAGCAATTGATCTTCGAAGGGGCCCAGGAGGTCCTATTAGAAAGACATCTTGTCCCAAAAGGTCCTTCTGCATAATCCATCTTAGATGTTGAACTACAGACTGAGCCAGAGAATCTGAAACTTTAAGGGGGAAAAAAAAGATGAAATGCAAATCAGACCACTACTAATAATATAGATAAATCTCCAAGCAAGGACAACTTATTAAGTATATACATGCAATACATATACACACATTAAATATATACATATATTTGCATACACAGAGAAATACATGTATTCATATACAAATGTAATATTATACTTGGTGAATTTTCGGTCTTACAATAAAACCATTATTTTCAATGTTAACACAGGACAAAGTTTAAGATACTAGTCATAAAAATCCCACATTTAAAAACTCCTAAGAACATCTGAACAATCATATACAAATTTCACTAAAAGTAAAAAGTGATTTTCAAGAGTAATATTGAAAAACTAGCATCATTACTTTATCAGAATTTTATAACCCAGTACTTTGGTTCTAAAAAGAGGAAACAACCAAGTCATTCCAGATAATTATCATAGCCTTGAAAAATTTGAGAAAACTGTATTATAACTTAAGTCAGCAAAGGGTTTGAGATCTCCCAACTTTCTCTCAATAAGTTTGCTGTAACAAGCTCATGTGGCTTAAATTATTTCTTTAGAATTTAAGCATGTTCTTCTGTACCAACTATCTTGGGAATATAAGACTACACCATCCTTCTAAGGCTAGACTATCAAATCACATATCAATCTGCTCTTCCTCTAAACATTTTTAAAAATATTTCAACTAATACAATTAATTTTTTTGCTCGTTTGTAAAAACCCAGTGACCCAGCAAATCTATTCCTACTTATATGAAAAACACTCTTACAATTCTACATGAAGACACACATAGAATTCTCATAGCAGCTTTGCTCAAAATCATACTAGAGTTATTTTCATAATCCCTTCCAGCTCCATCCAGGTTGCCATTAATAGCATGGATTTGTTGTGGTTTTTTTTTTTTTGATAGCTGAGTAGTATTCCATTGTGTATAAATATCTTCTTGATTCACTCCCCTGTTTGGGAGCATTCAGGCTGTTTCCACATCTTAGCTATTGTAATAGTGCTGCTATGAACATGACAGTGATGTTTCCCTTCAGATTAGTGTTTCTGTGTCCCTTGGGTACATATGCAGAAGTGGAACTGCAGGGTCATAAGGTAAATCCATTTTGATCTTCTCAAGAATGTTCATATTGTTTTGCACAGGGTTAGACAAGTCTGGAGTCCCACCAGTAAGGAATCCAGAGGGAGAGTTAGGGAAGGGTGAGAACAAAATGAGGAGGGAGGGTGGACTGTGGTGGTGGACTACTGGTGCTTTGGCGGAGGGATCACGACGGTCATAACACACGAAGGGGCGATCTACTCCCAAAATACAATGTAAACCAACATTGCCTCAATTTTAAACAAATTTTTAAAACTCAAATTAAAAATGGATAAAATGTACACAACATAGTGACAAAACCAAAAAGAACTAGCACTTCCAATATATGTTTAACTCTTGAAAGACCTAATTTTGAATGAAAAAAGCTAAGTCAGAATTACATGATGCTATTTTGATAAAGCTCAATAAAATAGCAAATTGAATTCATTAGAAATAGATACATACATATGCAATGAAATAGAAAAAGCAAAAGAATGATTCAGGATAATGGATACCTGGACATGAAATCAGAGAGATTTGCATGGATATTCAATGGTATTGGCAATATTCTAGCTTTTAAACTGGGTGTGGGTTATACTATTTGTTTCATTATTGGGTTATTTATAAACACATCCACATACATATAAAATATAAAGTCTTTTGTTTGTATCGAATATTTCATATTTTTTAAACTTTGTTTAATCACCCATTGAGATCAAGAAGGCTTACATAGGACTAAAATTGACCTTTTCCCACTTGACAGCAGAGTATTGCTCAATTAGTTCCCCCTAACCCCCTCAGAAAACTAGTATCTCATCACTGGAAAAAAATAAAGAAAAATTTCTGATTTTCTTAATCATGTGGGAAGATCAAATACAAGGTATTGGGCAGACTAGTTGGTTTACCATGTTACTGGGTTGACATTAAAGTATCTTATAATTTTCTCCAAAATAAATTAACTCCATTTGAAAATCAAGAGACTTACTACCCTAGTGGAAATGCTTGGCTTCTCTCCCATACTCTATGAACCCTCTACAAGATGATCACCCCCAATGAGGCAAATACTGGTTTCTGGTGGGGGGCTTAGGAAAAATTCTTAGATATTACAATGGTCTGTGGTCCACTAAGGGACACCATGCATAAAGAGATACCCAATATATCTGTAGTGTTAAAATTTCATGGGACTGGGTAAGAGACAGTCAGTGGGAGAAATGTCCTTAGAAGAGCAATAATGGAAAATAGAGTGAGAAACACTGCTCAAAGCCCTACAACTCTGAGGATCTATCAAGGAGTTTCACACTGCGAGGATGTAATTCACCTGAGCTTGGAGAGTCACCTTCATTTGTAACTACTTGATGTTCACTTAACTATTTTCTTTTCCACCTCAAACTTAACTCCATCTTTCTGCTATGTAGTCCACTCTTTGTTATTTCAAGATGAGTCAGCCTGTTTACTGTTTATAAAGATGAAATAAGAGTCAAGAAGCTCTAACTTCTCTACCAGTAAAATTATACAATATCCACTATGTTGCAAATCTACTACCTCTCTCTTCTTACTCTGATATCAAATATATATTTAAAAACTTAAAACAATTGGGCTTTTTTTTTTTTTTCCACATTTGCCCAAACCTCAGCAAACTTTGGCCACAGGCATTGCTGCGCTACTCCAGTTTTGTGTCACTCCTTTGTATTCATTCCACTTTGGCAATGTGCCTGAACTTCCATTACCTGGACTTCACTATTTCAAACAGGAAATTTTCAAAGTCCTAAAAAGGCAAAGCTAAGTTGGGTCTCTTCAGCTTCCTCCCACCTTTTATTATTTATTACTATTTGTAACTACTCATAGAGTCTCAATTTAGTTCTATACCATTCCATTCCATTTTTAAGGCCTGGACTTTTGAACTGTATTCATTTTCAAGACTTTTAAAAAATGAAGGCAGCAATTCCTAATCAAACATAAAGTCTGCCTCTCACATGTTGCCAGTGTTAATTAAGTGTGAAGTCTTGAGTATATAAAGTGATGATAAATGTAACATCCCAGACAGTACATAATATGTCATGGGACTGTTGCTGAAAAATACTATGCCTGGGTGACACTTCTCTCAAGGTTTCTGTTGCTTGCTCACCACTAATGAGTTATTCCTAATGAGTCATGATTAATCCCAGGGAAAGAGTTCCTCTGTTTCCCCTGCCTTCTGAAAAAAGAATTTTCATGGGGACAACTCAATAGTGAATAAATTTCTACCTTTAGCTTGAGCTTCGAGGAGATGTTAGGTTATCCAAAACTTATTAGCATCAGATTTCAATTCTATATCAGTTTCTTAATATGCATAAATAGTTTCTGAATCTTGTGGCTGGCCCTGTAATTTATGCTACACCTTCATAAAGAGCTCTTCCGTTCCCTCCTTTTATCATCCCCCAATAACAATAGCCAAAGTTTACTGCATTGCAGTCATGTTCCAGGTAGAAGTATAAATGATTTTTCTTACAGTATCTCACTTAGATCTCACAACAACCCTAGGAGGTAGGAGACTACAGTAAGTAGCAAGGACATGGACTCCAATCAAACCTTTCAAATTCTAACTCTGCTGTTTACCAGTTATACAACTTCAATCAGTTATTTAAACTCTGCCCAGCTTCTCCATCAGTATATGTACTTACTTATATGGTTGTTTATAATGATGAAGTTAGGCCCTTAAAACAGTGTCCAGTAATAGTTAAGTGGCATGCTGTTTGTTACATACTCATCCCCATTTTACATAAAAATCTTAAAGGTATTATCATTTGTCCACAGTTGGTAAATACATAAACCAAGATGTAGACCTAAGCTGTTTGAGTTCACAGCTTACACTCTAGAGATCCTTTCCTCCTGCTCCTTCAAATCTGTCAGCAGGCCCTACCTTTATGTCTATGACTTTCCCCACAAATAAGAACTTCATTGGGCTACAATAAATGTAATCATTTGAGGGCCTCCCTCATGGTGCAAGGGTTTAAGATGCAACCTATGAAGCTGCCTGCAGCCACTGCAGCACAAGTTCGACCCCCCGCCAACCAGGGAGCAACCCACTTGGCGCAACAGACCTCTCCTGACTTGCCCGCTGCTCCCCTCAGCAGTGTACTTCAGTCAATCTGCCTGTTCTGTTCCCTGCTGTCTCCGGTGAATCCTCTGACCACCCCCACCCCACACCTCTGGTCTGTACCCCAGCTCTTATATGCATAAATAAATAAATCCTTTTTAAAAATCTAATCATTTGATTCTATTTTAATTATGGTGATAACAATATTATATGTTGCTCCTTTATGAAAATTTCAAATTCATTGTGTTGCTTACATGTTGTGATCAGAGAGCCCAATTCTCAACAAAAGCCCCATTTTTACTTATTCATATTTTCACATACTGTATGTTGTCAAAGAAATTATTTGTCAGAAAATTGCATTAAACTACTCAAAGAAAGCATTATGTACTGCTGCTGCGTGTCTGTGGTGTATTTTACATTAATGCTTGAAAAACTAGCTGTATTTTTAGGATGGCCTCAAGAAAACATGACTCATTCTTAAAAGCATTCCAGAAATAGAAACAAGATGTCAGACTGCACATTACCAACATCTGCACAACAAACTGCCCAACTGCCATACATAACCTCACATAAACACACAGTCCAGTGCATGAGCGAAATCTCTGACTTTGATACTTGCAAGTATAAGAGGCTACCTTCCGGGAGTTCACATCAGTGAGTTCACATCAGTGAATCAATGCCAAAATAGTATGAGAACTTGATCCTATGGTCTATGAGTCCTTCTCTATGTAAAAAAGAAACATCTGGGGCCTCCCCGGTGGCACAGCGGTTGAGCGCTGGGTTGCGAAGCTGCTCGCGGCCTCTGCGGCGCCGGTTCGATCCCCGGCTGCTCCCCGGCCA